TAGATAGATAGATAGATAGATAGATAGATAGATAGATAGATAGATAGATAGATATAGGTAGATTGGTAGATGGATGGATGGTAGATGGATGGATGGTAGATGGATGGATGGTAGATGGATGGATGGTAGATGGATGGTAGGAAGATAGATAGATGTAGTTTCTGGTTGAGTCAGACTAGTTTTATATGAATCCTTCATCTGGCTGAATGTTTCATTTAAAAGCTATGTAGGTGAAAAATACTATTCTTCCTATAATAGGATTTCTTTGTTTCTCATTTAACATGGACAAAATACAAATAATATCTTCTGTCACCTTTTGAAGTGAAATAGCTCCTTTCTTTGGGGGTTTTCTGAATTATTATTTTTTTTTTTACAAAACCAAAAGATCAGAGTGAGATTTAAAACATTAATCTCCCAAAATATGCTGGGCAGCAGTCTTTCCTCTTTCAAAGAAAATCAGATTGTTTTTCATTTCTGTCCTTGGCGTTGTTGCCATTGTTGAATGGGAAATTCTTGAAGTGCCATAAACAAAGTGATTGATAAATGGTTTTAAAAATAAATCATCTCTTTCCTCTTCTGCAGGTACCCCTGAAAGCGACACTGTTTGCGAGAGATGTCCAGAAGGATATTTCTCTAAAGAAACATCATCCAAAGCTGCTTGTAAAATGCACACTAACTGCAGCGCCCTGAGTCTCAGATTGGTGCAGAAGGGAGACTCCACACATGACAATGTGTGCCAGGGAGCGGACAATGATGAACTGGATCAGCAATGTGGAATTGGTGTGTATATAATACCCCGAAACAAAATACAGGTAGTCCTCGAGTTACGACCGCAATGGAGCCCAAAATTTATGTTGCTAAGTAAAATATTTGCTATAAGTGAGCTTGCCCTCTTTTATGACTTTCCTTGCCACTGTTGTAGTGGTGGTATTCACATCTTTTAACCACCGGTTCTGTGGGCATGGCTTGGTGGGCATGACTTGGTGAGCATGGCAGGGGAAGGATACTGCAAAATCCCCATTCCTTCCCCACCCCACAAACCTACTTTCCAGCTCCGTTCTCCTGTGCAGAGCAACAAAAGAAGACCCAGCCAATCAGCTGGGACTTGGGAGGCAGAGAATAGATGGGGACAGGGCCAGACAGAGGTGGTATTTACCAGTTCTCTCTACACAAAATTTCTACTACTGGTTCTCCAGAACCTGTCAGAAGTGGCTGAGTACCACCTCTGCATGGTTGTTAACAGATTCGTTGCATTGGTTAAGTTAGTAACATGGTTGTTAAATGAATCTGGCTTTCCCAGTGATTTTTCTTGTCATAAGGTCGCAAAAGCTGATCACATGACCCTCAGGACACCACAAGCGTCATAAATATGAACCGGCTGCCAAACATCTGAATTTTGATCATGTGACCATGGGGCATGCTGCAACGGTCGTAAGTGTGAAAAATAGTCACCGTTGTAACTTTGAGCAGTCACCAAATGAACTGTTGTAAGTTGAGGACTGCCTGTAATGGAAATTCCTCATGAGTTTACAGCTGATGTGCAATTAGAATTACAGTGAGAACTTATTTAGTCTTGATTTTGTAGATTATACCTACCGGACTAATATGCAGATTGGAAAGTTATTTGCCTAATGGAAGGATTCTCATATGGAAGAGATAGAATGGATTTATTCCTTATTGTCTGAGAGGACAGAAGCAAAATCAATGGGTTGAATCTATATGAAAATACTTTCAGACTAAATATCAGGAGGAACTTTTTGACTGTATAAGGAATAAGGAAGGAATAGAATGTTGTATGAACTAGGCAAATATGGGTAGTCCTTGACTCATTGAGTGACCATTCAAAGTTACAACATCATTGAAAATGGGCAGTCATGACTATTTTTCACACTTACAACCGTTGCAGTGTCCCAATGAGCATGGGATCAAAATCCAGATGCTTGTCAATTGGTTCGAATTTACGACGGTTGCAGTGTCCCGGAATCGTGGGTTCACCTTTTGCAATCTTATGACAAAAGTAAAGTCAATGAGAAAGCCAGATCTCACCATGTTACTAACTCAACAACTGCAGCGATTCACTTAACATTGTGACAAGAAAGGCTGTAAAATGAGGCAAAATTCATTTCACAACTGTCTCACGTAGCAACAGAAATTTGGGGCTATCCTTTGGTTGAAGTTTCAGACCAGAATCTGGAATGTCATCTATCAAAGATATTCCAGTGGATCCTGCTTTCAATGGGTGATTGAATTAAATGACCTCTTCCAAATTTAGGATTCTATGAAACAAGCAACTATGAAATTGATATGGATCACAAACACATCTTTTCAATTCAAAATAGCATTGGCATTTTCTCCATTCTGTTGCCCTCATTGTCTTTGTCTTTAAAAATATCATTGTATAAGAACTTTGCCGGCAATACTCTGTGGCTTGTTGCAGCCTGGAATGACACCTTCTCTTTGTTGGGGTGCTCTGTGAATCTCCTGCTGAGCAGACGTAAAGCCCCACTTCCCCCAGGGAAGCAACACAGTGCATGCAGCTTCTCTGTTTGAAGTGAGTGCCATCCCTGCTTCAAAAGGATAATTTATGCACTTTGCCCTCCAAAGGAAACATTCTGTTAACATTTGCAAAGTGTGAAGTTCAAAATAAATCCCATTCTTTTTCAGTAGGGTCCAATCCCTGTTGGTCTTCATAGGATTACAGCTTTAGAAAAGTATAGTACTGTACTTTCTCACATCAGCTTTTGACAGTCACCCCAAATAACAATAGCACTTAGACTTATATATCACTTCACAGAGCTTCACAACCTCTCTAAGCGGTTTACAGAGTCAGGATATTGCTCCCAACAATTTTGGGTCCTCATTTTACCAACCTTGGAAGGATCAAAGGCTGAGTCAACCTTCAGCCTGGTGAGATTCGAAATGCCAAATTGCAGTCGGCCGGCAGTCAGCATAAGTAGCCTATAGTACTGCACTCTAACCACTGTGCTGCTGTGGCTCAAAGGTTAATGTCCCAATTTTAAAGTCAGTATCTGTATGGTTTTAGATGTCACCTTGTGTGAAGAAGCATTCTTCAGGTCCATCGTGCCCAGAAAACTATCTTCCACCTGGCTGAATACCCTCATGGATAGTCTGCCTGGCGAGAAGATCAATCTTGAAAACAGAGAAAGAATTAAACAGAAGAGTAGCCTGCAAGATCAGACCTTTCAGCTACTGAAGTTATGGAAAGAGCAAAATAAGGACCACAGTACAGTCAAGAATATTGTCCAAGGTACGTACTAAAGAAAAGCAAGGGATTATGTTTACCCACTGGGTCAGTTTATGTAAGATATTTGTTCCTGAGTATAGGTTAAATCCCCACAGCAGTCAAGACAATCAGTTGAAGGTGGCCATTGTGATTTTCACCTCAGTAATCAAAGCAGCTTCTAAGTGCATAAGCCATGTGGACACATATTGTATCTTTTAGTTAGGCACTGGAGAACTGCGTGTATGCAAGTAGGAGACCAAGGGCAAAGCAACAGATAATTGGGAAGTTTCCCCCTTTCTCTTTTCTTCTTTGTTTTTCGTGCTGAGTAGGTTGAGGGGATTTTCTCTGGCTGCAGTATCTATAGCAGCCTGGAGCAAAATAAGAACTGCCATTCCTTATCTTTAGCATTTGAAGTCAGTGGATGTGATTACAATCACCTTAAAACTGCTTTGAAGGTTGGGGTTTTCAAATAAAAGCCCTTTTTTATTTGAAATCAGCTTTCTGTGGCCTTTCCACTTACTCCTAAGCATTAAATAAAGATGACGTGGCCACATCTTCCTCCCTGTCATTTCTCCATGAAATTGCTTTCATCTCTCATCCTTAGGACAGGCTAAAGTTATCATTAGGCTTGTTGGCATTAAAACAGAGTTTCCTCCCTTACTGGGATATCATCCAAAGCAACCTCAAGTTGGGTAAAAGCAGTTCGGTTGTGATCAGGAGGAAAGGCATTAAAAAGGCAAAATCATGACAAAGGGGAGAGAAAATTTTCTATAGGTATAGATTTCTAGAGCCAGTTTGGTTAGTACAGGGGTCCCCATATTTGGCAACTTTAAGACTTGTGGACTTCAACTCCCAGAATTCTCTAGCCAGGTATGCTGGGCTGGAGAATTCTGGGAGTTGAAGTCCACTGATCTCAAAGTTGCCAAGTTTTGAGACCTCTGGGTTAGTGATTAAAGCATTTCATTTCATTTTGTACCCAGCCATTTTGTGAAATGGTTAAAGGCATAAGCTAAAAACCAGGAGCCTGTGAGATCTAGTCCATCTGAGGCGCAAAGCCAGCTGGGCCAGTCACTCTCTCTTAGCCCTTGGAAGCAGGAAATGGCAAACCACTTCTGCAATCTTGCCAAGACAACTGCAAGGAGTTCTTCAGGCAGTTACCAAGAGTCAACAATGACTTGAAAACACACACACACACATTATTTTCTGACAACTTAATTTCACTTTAGCAGTGAGGAAAAGTCACTGTGTCTTTTTTAGTGTTTTCAAGTTAATCTTGACTTTTGACGACTATATAGACAAGTCTATAACAGGGTTTCTTTAGTAATATTTTTGGGAAGTGATTTGTCATTTTCTTCTTCCTTGAGAAGAAGCTGAGAGAGAGAGGAATTGGTACAGCCAACTGGTTTTGTGCCTGGCAGGACTAGAACTCCCAGGGTCCTGGCTTCTAGCCTAGGCCTTTAACCATTTCACAAAATGGCTGGGTACAAAATGAAAACTCTTTTAGAGAAATCTGGGATTATGCTATCTGTATGAAATCTAATTGACCCAGATGCCATTGTGTCCATAAACTCAGATTTCATTGTTTTAATTTGTAGGGTAGTTTTCAAGAAAGTATTGACAAAAAGAAGGGCTTTAAGCCTATCAGCAAAGGAGATAGGTTCAATCATATTTTTGTGACTTTAATGAAGAGAGATCTAAACAAGTTTAATTCTTTCTTTCTTTTTAGGAATCAGTCTTTGTGAAAACAGTGTTTTAAAGCACATTGACCACCTCAACATCACCCTTGAGCATCTCAATATCCTGATGGAAAATTTGCCAGGGAAAAATGTGGGCAGAGAAGAAACGGAACAGATTTTTAGGATGTGCAAATCCACAGAGCCAATTCTGAAGCTCTTGAATTTGTGGAGGATAAAAAATAAAGACCAAGACACCATCAAGAGCTTGATGTTTGGACTGAAGCATCTGAAATCATACCGTTTCCCCAAAACGACCATTCAAGGTTTTCGGAAAGTGGTGAAATTCCTCCACAGCCTCACAATGCATAAATTGTACCAGAACCTTTTCTTAGAAATGGTGGGAAACCAAGTCCATTTGGTAAAAATGAGACGTGGGTAGTTTTAAGTTCTCTGATCTTTCATTTGCCACTTGCTGCTAGCAATAATTAAATGGGGGAGGGGAATGTTTTCCTATAAGATAATGCTTATTTATATTTATATGACTGACTGGGATAGCTTAGACTATCTTAGAACTTTTGTTGTTGTTTTGTAATATTAAAATGCTTACCTGGACTCCGACTCCATCCAAGAATTCCAGTGAATTCCATGGACATAGAGAGAAATAATAGCAAAAAAAAAAATTTGCTATTTATATTAATTTGAAATCTAAATTGTGGCATGTATTTATTAACTTCATTGGTAACTATTGGAGATTAAGTGCTGAAGCAGATGACCACTTGTTATAGAATCATAGAACTGGAAGATACCTTAGAGGTCGTCTAGTCCAACCCCCTGCCCAAGGCAGGAGTCCTTATACCATCCCGGACAAACAATTTCATTGTTTAAACATTTATGTTCCACTGTGTATTAATGGCCCTAAAACTTTATTTCCCAGCCCTTCCGAGTCTTTAGTGTGGTGTCATTGAAACATTCAATATCAAAATCAATAATTTTTCTCCTCAATTTCAGGCCAAGAAAAATAATGCTCGCCATGCATTCGGATGTGCTTTATGCATCTTAAATGCAAAATCCTTCCTCCCCTTATCCCTACTTGTATGACATCATGGTGTTATCTTAGTGGCTGTTGTTGTCCTTGGCTATGGATTATAAGAGGGGTGAGTCTTGGCTAGAAAAAAAATACTAGGCTCCCACAAATGCAAATCCACCATAGAGGAAAAGCATAGTTCCATTTGCATAAAGAGGCCAGTAGCGATTCATCTTCTACTATCAGAATATTATTTCTCAAACCTATCAGCCTTAATGATGCATGGAAGGGCTGAAAAATTCTAGGAGTTGGAGTCCATGCAATTTAAAGTCGACAAGTTCTAGTGTTTTTCAAACATGGCAACCTTAAGATGTATGGACTTCAACTCCCATAATTCCCCAGCCCACCCATACATCTTAAAGCTCACAAGTTTGAGAAACACCATTCTACTCATTTCTCCACTATGTTTCAAGCTACTCCTTATTTACATCTCTGTCATGGAGCACATACCAGACTCCAAAATAAGTACTCATTTCACGCACAAAAACAAAAATACCTCCCCCCCCCTTTTTTTTTTGCTTCCCATAACTATATAGAAATGATTGCTATAGTTTCAATTCAATAGGTCCAAAATATCTAAATTCTGCCTTAGTGGTTAGTTCCATATTTCTCCATTTTTGCTACTGTGGTTTTTAGATGGCAGAAATTGAAGTTCCCAATATTCCAAGCCTGCAGGTGTCAAATTGGCCAAGCTAAATTGGTCTATTTTTCAGTGTTCCTACCAGTTCAGTCCCAAATCTTCTGCCACATTCATTTCTCTTCAATGAACTTGAGTTACTATAGTGAAACAAAATGTTTTTGCTACTTTCTCCCACCCAGGGGAAATCTTTTTTTGTGTGTAAAAAAATTAAGTAACATATCCTTTCTTTCTCCCTCCAAGCCCCTGAATCATTCATCTTTCTTTTCTTTTACGAAAAGCAGAAATTCTACCATCTAAAGCCATTCCTGCCCCCCTAATTCAAGTGGCATTGATTTGGATCCATACATGATAGGCTTGAAGCTTGCTCTAAACCAGTGGTTACAATAATTGTTTCTTGCAAGAAAAAAAAGGCGTAGTTGTTTTGTTTCCTTTTGCAATTTAATCTTGAATGTACGAAGGAATCTTAAATTTGAATTATAAATTGGTTGCAGAACTTCAGTGATGTTGTCAGAACAACCAGGCAGTCTAATCTTTTGCATTGTCTGTTGGCTGGCTTCTAAGGTTGATAAAACTTCCAAGTCGAAAGCTTTTCATATGTTTTCACCCTCCAATTTACAGAGGGGAAATGAATAGAATGTGTACTGTTTATTTTCAAGCTAAAAGGGATGGGGAGATATTTATATGTTATGTTTTGTAGTAAACCTTTCTGTCATTCTTCCTTTGTGAATTTTTAAAGATTATTTCTTAGGTGGTGTCTGTATAGAATGTGATATCTTTTAGAAATAATTTCCAGGAAAAGAAAAGAAAAAAGAAACATGTTGCAAGTAGATCATTAAGAAGCTGTACATTTTGTTTTAGAACATGAATGTACCCTATTTAAAAGATGAGTTTTCAAGATGGATTTTTGATCTTGTTTTATAAAGCTATTTTTTTCATTTAAAATATGTGGCTCTTCGATTCTTTTGTCTCACAGTCCCTACAAACTCTGTTCTGGCTACTTCAGAAGTCAAGAGGTAGAGAAACCATCATATTACATGGGCATGATCTCTACACCGTGGTGGCTGAATATGATTTTAGTTCTTCCCACAGCCAAATATTGACGACAATCAGGATTTCCAGCCATCTGGAGAAGTTTAATCTGTTTCAGCAGAATATGGTGTCCAACTCCCTTTAACCTTTTTGCCTTATAAAAATCCCTCCAGTTTTAAAAATTGATAATGATTTTATAGATATAAAACAATGTTCCTCAAGTTAGACAACTTTCAGATAGATATACTTCAGGTATTTTTAGCAATATTTAATGTTGGGTGAGGAATTCCATAAAGTGACATTCATATATTTAGGATATACCCTGTTTGGAAAACATTGGTCTAAAAATATGAAGATATAGTGTTAGATTGTACTGACTTTACTCATGTACCATGCTAATCCATGGTTAACTGACTCATGGTTGACTTAATACAAGTTTGGATTCATACAACATTAACTTTACTGAATGTGTTTGTATGATGCATTCTGCTAAAGATTAGCTACCATATTTTAATGTACTGCTGTATAAATTTAGCCTTTGGATCACAATCTGGTTTTCTCATGCTCCATATTAGTTTGGACAATGCCTATTGAACTTAAATTTTGACAATGTTCTCAAGGAGGCTCTTTCTATCTAGAGTTAGCTCAAAGTGTTTTCTAACTACTGGTAGCTGCCTAGATTTTAAAAAGAAGTTTTCCTATCACCTGATATCAGATTACTTAGCGGCAAACTAAATTTGTGACCTTTAGAACAAATATATTTTTAAGGGTAATTACGATGCCTTTCAATATAAGCAAAAACCAGCTAAGCATGCAAGTATTCTAAAAGCAATTCAGAGCCCTGTTGGGTTGGAGGAACACATAATTACAGATAATCAGAGTTGGAAGGGACCTTGTAGGTCATCTAGTCCAACCCCCCACCCAAGCAGGAGACCCTATTTCTGAAAATGGCAGTCCAATCTCTTCTTGAAAGTCTCAAGTAATGATGCGGCCACAATTTCTGAGATCAAGCTGTTCCATTGGTTGATTATTCAGAAAGTTTCAGAAAGTTTCTCCTTATTTCCAGGTTAAATCTCTCCTTGTTCAGTTTCCATCCATTATTCCTCGCCTGGCCTTCTGATGCTTTAGAAAATAGCTTGACCCCTTCCGCTCTATGGCAGCCCCTCAAATATTGGAAGATGCTATCATGTCTGCCCTGGTCCTTCTCTTCACTAGACTACCCATGCCCAGTTCCTGTAATCGTTCTTCATATATTATGATAGATAATATAGTGAAATAATACAATACATGCAAATATCACAAATTGTCCAGGTTAGGAGTATTTGATGGCCACCACAATTATGAAACTGGACCGACTAAGGAAACTACATAGTGTACAAATTCAGAAGCATGAGAACATACAGTGTAAGACCACCTTATAGTGAATATCCTTCTAGGGCAATATTGTCAATTCTGCTTTTGTTTCATACTAGGGAACCTGTGATCCAGTGGGTCATCAATTTCAGTTTAACATTATTCAGGAAATCATGTTTCACGGATATTTACTTACCTAAACAGATCAGCAGAATAACCATAGGTGAGAGGGTGGGAAGTAACAGTTGGGGGCAGAAGCAATTTCCGACTTCCTGCTGGCTTCCCTAGTGACCTTGCTTTTGCAAAGGTTCTCGGGAGAAAGTCAATGGGGAATCTAACAAAGAAAAATACAAGTTGCTCAGGTAAGCCTTCCTCCTCTGGGCACTCTACTCAAATAATCGGTGCTTATGTTGCATTGGCCACCCCTGCACACCATCTCCAATGTGCATCACACCCCCATGCATACTGTCTGACTGTGTTACACCCTTGTGAACCATCCTTAACATATGCCATGCTCTCACCCCCCCCCCCCCCAACACACACTGCCTCCCCAAATCTGGCAGTAGCTACTTATCTTTTGGCCTGAGACTTGCAATTTCTTGCTGGTTTCTCCATTGACTTTGCTTATGGAAAACTGCTAGGGAATATTGACAATCACTATCAAGTTTAGATTTACTGCTAGCTTCCCCATTGACTTATGAGAAGCTGTCAGGGAGTGTCAGACATGCCAATCACATCACTAGCAATGGGATTATGTTGAAGTGGCCACAACAGTTCAATTTTTTAATCTCACAGGAGTAATATGCCATAGATTTTGGACATATTCTGTAGGTTGGCCCATTTGAGGTACTTTGGTTCAAAAACCATTATCCTGTGATGTATCATTTTGCCCAATTGAAGATTACAAATAGAAAAACACAAGAGTTTTAGTAGTATCTAGGCAGTACTCAAACAAAATTTTCATTATAGCTCAATATATTATATTATATTTCATTATAGCTCAACATATTCATTATAGCTTAATATAAACCGTGGCTTGCACAACAAAATATTTGAGTTCACATAAACGTGTTTGGAGTTGCATTAATACAACAGCTGTTAACAATTTCTCAGGGTTTCATACTGGAGATTTTTTGAACCCTACTTGGAGATGCTATATATTTAATCTAGGACACACCATACCATGGACATAGAGATACTGATCTTTGAAGCAGTCTGTGTATATAGACTGGGGAGAATTATGGTCTGCTGCATTTAGCAAGTGGTAAATGTTAACGTTAGGAGAATATGCAAGATTATTATTTTACTTTCCTTTAGTTGGCAATCTAAATACAGAGAATTCTGATCTAAGCAACAGTTAGGAATTCCAAGTGTTGTAGCCTAAAATAGCAAGACTAAAACTCTGTATCTCTCTGCTACCATATGCTAGTCATTTAGATTTTTACAGCTAAAATTTGCCATTCCATGTTAGCTGGTACTCCAGGATATTATATCCAATACTCTAAGCCACACCCAGGTTAAAAAAATAACATCACAATTTCTATGGTCACCCAACATGCTATGCCTAAAATACTGTAATAAATCATCTTATGGCTTGGTTTTCCTACCTATAGATCAAACTACAAATTATTTAGCAGTCAATGTAGCTGAATCCAGCATGTTGTGTGAAACCAGCCCATGTTTTAATCCTAATCTTCTTGTCGGCATATTATTTCGTCAGTTTAACGATGAGAAAAAGAAAGTATGCTGTGTTACCCACAATATTCTTTTGCCACTAGCTATTTTTCCAAGTCAGGTTTTAGATGAGAATTTTGAATAGTTAATTGTTTAAAATTGGGGTTTCATCAAAATACATAGGCCACAGCTACCGCTTTTCATCTAAACATATAGTCAAGCTATATTTAATGTCTATCAAAGGACATTTCTTTGGAATTAAAATGATTGGATTTTGTTTGTTATTTACCCACACAACTCTATTTTTTCACTGGTGAAATAGTCCAGAACTGCATATTGCTTCTCACAAACCTGCATTTTCGATTTCTGTGGCTCTCTTGTAATGCTAATGAAGGTGAGAGCTGTTACAAAGGAACATAAGCTGAATTGTATAACCTCTTCCATATTTGCCTTATCTTTTACTACAAGGGCCTTCTTTTCTCACTGCTAGTTATCTCCACACAAAAGCTGAGTGGCTGACTTCCAGCTTGGGAGTCATTAACTTTGCGAGTCTCCTTGGTAATTCTTTTACAGTCTTACCTTTTAAAAGAAGCATCTCTGTGCAATGAGAATCGATCTGATGGCTGGACCCAATTTTAAAATTTATTAGAGTCTTTTTTCATAGTGTAGAGATGGGATTTTGAGCCGGAAGCTCAACGTTCCTGCCCTTGTCCTCTCCTGAAATTCTGCTT